TTTTTTTAAACGTGGAATTGTCCACATTAATTTATACGAGAATTAATGTGTCTGTTAAATGCCCACCAACGTTTCCCGTTTTTTATTTGTGTTCCACTGAAATAGATAGTTATTGATTTTTATTGTTGGAAATAATTACTCATATACGTGTAAATTTGAGATATTTCTTAAGCCACGCCCACCTGTCATGAAACAGTCGACTGTTTCCGGCTTTCCGAAGTAAAAGTGCCCCACCCCCCACACGCTTTTTGAAACGTTGTAATTCTGTCGAATGCAGCAATGCCAAACGACCCGAAGGTGTGCGATCATTGGATGAAAGCCGTAAAACCAAGGATTTTTAGTAACCGTGGTTTTATGTAAGAGGTAGTAATGACGTGATGCGAAATATACACAATACACATACGTTGGTAATTGTTTTTAATTTTGCTGTCTGAAAGTATCTGAATTGCGTGGTGATTGATGTTGAATGACGACTTCATACTTCTGAATTCTTTCTTGCAATTTTATCTCCGTAAATAAGTGGGTCGTCAATATTTTGTAATTTTTAATGTGATGTCGTAATTATGACGATCTCACTAACTCGAATAGTTGCTGTTTTCGCTCGTAATAATTCTTGTTATCCAGTCAAACACCGCTATTCACGCACTTCTCCTCGTCGTCGCCCGACGCGTTCGTCCATTTCAACATGATGTCAATTCCTTCACACGCGGCTAGCATTTAGTAATTTATTTTCGACCCATTATATAATTTTGTTATTATTTCCCTATTTAATTGATCGATACAGGTTTAGAATATTAAAAATCCTTTTTTTAATACATCAGTGTATGAACATACCAGTAATAACGTGGCAAATAACCATAAGACAAGCCAGACGTCAAACTCGAGTTTCACAAACTTCGAAAACATCGACATGGTCATAGAGATCACGGGGAGTTTCGTGGCAATAGATGTCGGCACTTCAGCGGCTCTGGCATCATTTATATTATGGTCATTACGACTATCCTTTGGACAGGCAACAAATCGTGATATTACCCTCACAAACATGTGTTATTATTTAACTATAGAATATGATACACAATTGAATACAACCTGTATCAAATTGTGTATCATATTCGATAGTTAAAAGGTAATTTATGCATGGAGTAGAGACTGGCAAGCAGGTTCCATGTCCTCAATACCTTTGATATTTGTGAGCGTAATGTATATATCGCCCAATCGTGTGGTTTGTGTAAACGATTGTTTCTAATTTGCATACAGGGGTAATATCCGCTCTCTCGAGTCCCCAAACTTATGTATATTCACACAATTTTAGTATGGAAATTACTTTCAGTGGCTGTACTTTGACCTCAATTCACAATAAGTGTCTTCAGCTTTGTTTATTTACGGCTGTTATATATCGCAGGTTGTTGTGTTCCACAATTTGCACTGTAAAAAGACAGTATGAATCTAACATGGCGGTATACACTCGTCACTTGATTGCGTTAATGTGTTTTATTCTGAAACTAGTTATGAATGGTATTTCCTATTTGAACCCATTACAACTATAGTTGTTTATTTGACTTAGTATTGATTTACTATGAGTATAATTGGTTTACAAATAAAATTTGAGACTATATAAAACAGTAATGATCTAATTAATCTGTAGTAGTGGCGAGAGCGAAAACATGTCACAACGTCACCTCACAACTTACAGTTCATCTGAATTGTTTATTTCTCTAGAAGGGTGTAACAATAGTGTCACTTTAGTGAGTAATTTATAAAAGGATTCACAGTAACATCGTAGTTGTTATGATTTTCCGATGATCAATAGGTCTATAGAGTTTAAATGTTAGCTAGATGCCACAACTATAATGCCCTTGGAGTGGGTATACCACATAATCTATATACGGGTGAAAGTCACGGACTACATTAAATCACCCTCGGATGATACATGTGGTTGTGGTCGACATGGTATGGCTATTTTGGGAATAGGCCATCGAACCACCGTCTTGTTCAACATTCGTCCCATTCGCCGTAAGTAAATATTACATGTTAAAATGTTTGTTTATATGTTGTTTTGTTAGAAAATGAAATGCGGTGATTTATATTAACAAATTGATAACACACTGAACATATAATTTGAAAGCAAATCACAGTTTAGTCTGTAATTATTGTTACAAATGAATGTATATATGTTGGTATAATAGGCGTAGTCAAGGTGTAGTGGCCAGCATTTTCAACACTGATTATTATGTATAATCTTATCATAAAGTAAAACAAATGTATATAACGGTACAAACGTACTGTAAGACAAGTTAAATATAGATACATTGCTCTGACTTATATCTGTTAAATATCTTATTGCAATTATAGTATAATTGGCGTTCTAATTATACTCGGTCAAATAAGAATTGTTTGCTCTCGTTCTTTTTCTTTTTTGTGAAGTTTGGGCAGCTGGCGATTATATTTAAAATAAATTTTACTTTACTTTAACTTAATGGGCGACAAATGTACACGCGTTTGAAGCAGCAGATGAACAAGTGGCATCTTGAATTATTCAAAATGATGAGGTGATTTAAAAACCTTATCTTTATTATACATGACTTTCTATTTATACAAGCCAGAATTCTGGACCATCAAAGGACAAAACAACTTAACAAATACGGTGATACAATCAAATATTAACAAACGTATTTTATTTATATATGCATTGACTTATATTGTATATATTTATATATTGCTAAAATTATATACCACCATTTATTCGCGCATTTGCCTGTTGCATGTGCGTTAATACTAAACGCATGTGGAAACGTTGCATTATGAGTAATTGTTGTGTGATGATTTTCAATGTAAACGATATTCCGCGTTTTAAAATAAATGCTCTAAAGGCGTTAAATGCCATAGCATTTGGTCACAATACACGTCAGCACAAAAGACACTTAAGAATGAGGTAGAAACTGGCAACATAGGTTCATGTCCTCAAAACTTGTCATTTGTAAATTGAAAGAGGTAAATGTACAGTGCCTCCACCATCAAATGATTTGTTTATATACAGGGGTATATATTTATATGCAGTCATGTTGTTAACATGAAATCTACATTCGATGATTGCAATTGTCGCATCATTTATTTACAAGATGAGTACGCAATATTAGTCGAGAGTAATATACTGAATTAATGTAATCACACTGTCTTTATATAAGGCTTTTATTGACATGCGAGGCATAATATAATTTAATATTATTGTCCCGCCATTTATCGGTTGCATTCTCATAATGTTGCTAAGAGATTTAATCTTTTGTTCAATGTACCATTATTCCTATTATAATTTTTCCTTTCTGGAAACATCGACTTCCTCGATTATGCTATTTGATAATATTCTGTAAGAAGAAAGATTGTAATTAGGAAATATTTTACTTATTATGTCGAATATACACACAGATAAAACCTAACAAATTCAAATATACTACTATGTCAAATAATTGTGATTATTTTGCGATCAACAGTATATGTTTAAATTAGTTTAATAATATGAATAAAAACACACTTTTTATTAATCGACATATACAAATCTACAATACAACATTTTTTTTTTTTACTTTGTGAATGTATTTTAGATTTAAAACATACCGTATTTACACATTTCAGACTTGGTAACTCGTATTCTGAAGCAGGTTCCATTGTCTCTGGTGAAAGTGTCGTATAAGTATGGTCAATTGCAACACTTGGCTGAGTGATTAAAAAAGAAATAAATATTTATTAAATGGAATACATTGCATATGTATATATTCAATACTATTCGATTCGTGGAAATTTACCAGATTAACACTTGTTTATTTAAATACATTATTAAATACATTATTACCATAAATGTCGGTATCTCATATGTATGTCCAGTTTCCCTTCTAATTGCAGAACGCGTGGTGTACTTTCTATCTTCATCTGTGGTCTGATAAGAAAAATGGGAATTGGATTTTAACAACTCTCATGCAAATATACGTATAAACGAGTAATACATATGTTAAAATTATAGCTTATTCGTCGATTAAGAAGTTCGATACTGAATATGGTTGGTACATTAACGTGCTTTACCTGTTCTGTCGTTTTCTTGGTAACCCGCTTAATCAGAATAAAGCCAATTAGGAAACCAATTACGCCGCCACCAAGTAGAGATACAAACACACTAATACTAATGGCAGCAGTGTAAGAACATTCTACAATATTGAATATATTGAATGATAATTGAAACATTGGACAGGCACGAATTTAGAGCCAAACCTTCCTAACACGTTGGAATTGTAGGACTTTCTGAACTAGTACAAAGTTATGAATATATATCGAAGTTATGAATATATATCGATCACATTGATTCGAATACATTATTCCCAATGCATATCTGAATATATATCACATAAAGCGTTTCCTAGGTATGGTTAATTTAAGATACTCACGATTTGGAAAATAAAGTATATTGTTGCTTTCTCAAATGTTGAGCGTGACAAGTTTATAAAAAAATATCAATATGGCTTGGTGTTTTCATGATGCATTTATGATGCGTACGTTTTTTAAGTATAAATATATATAACTTGTATCAAAATGATATAAAATGAGTTAGTAAACACATATTACATTATCTCTCACAGCAGTTGATTGTATAAATCA